TATAACCCACATAGTCATTATTATAGCCTGCTCTGTCTCCCATGGATGTACGATAAAGAAATATGTATACAGAAGTTCATGTGATAGCATTTCACAAGTGAACCATAGAGGTTATGTGCAAAAAAAAATAACTTCAAATACAAATAAACTTGTAAAGGCACCTAATGGTCTAAACCTGATTTTCAAGAGTAGAACTAGGATCATATGCTGCTTCCTACCTCTAATGATAGTATGTGTCAAAGCAGTAAAAATCCCAGAGAAAATACATACAGACAGTGTAAGAGGAAAATCTTCAAAAAAATAACTGACTACTAGGCAGAGGTAGGATGTCAGGGAATGAAGATATTCACTGATAAGTATTAAAACATATCTCACCACAGTCCCTAACCACTTCATAATTCACAGCTGTCAAAAATCAGCTATCAAATCTCTGTTCCCAATCTGGGAATGTAAAAGCATCTTCAAGTAGGTTGTCTTAGAAGGAAGTCAGATACAAGTTATAGGTAAGTCACTGCAGGTAAAATGAACTTGTCACTGAACTGTAATTGATCCTCAGAAGCATCTCAAACGTAACCTTAATTAATCTGGAAGCAAACTGCCTTAGCCCATAAACACAAGTCCAAAAGTCTACTGAGAAAGAACCTAATAAATTTAAAGAGACACTCTGTTACTAAAATTAAAATACCCTGAATAAAAGCTATTCCCGTAAAGTAAATACTCGCTTCTCCTGTTTTCCACACTAACAAATATGCTGGTGTAAAGAAGGGAACACACTATCTAAAAACTACCCCAAAAACAACACTTCTGAAAGTGCAAATCTTCCTATCCCCTGCTGTGTTCAGTGGTTCCTCCAACCAACTCCTATATCACTACTGGACAGAGCAGTGAGGTAGGTATCGGTGGGAGAACCAATGAGTCCCTCGACCCCTCTGTTTACCTCTTCAAAAACTGCACTACACTTCCCTATCCACCCAATTCTGGTGTTGCTGTGTCATATTCTCCTTCCGTGTGATAGCTTTTTTTCCTATGTATTATCATCCTATGATCTCACTGAAAAGCAGGCCTGGAGTAAGCACACACAGTGTCAGGACAACAATGTGCACACAGAGTCAAGGCAGGCACACACATGTTAGGAGTGTCAGGACAGGGTTTTTGGTGAACAGCTTTATGGTTTTAAATGCGGTTGTAATACAGAGATCTTTACCTTGTATGAAGGAAAGGGTGCACTGGGTGTATTAGGGAGCAGTAATGGAGTGGTAAGGTCATGATCCTCACTTTTTGTAAACGGATTGCTTAAAAATTACAGTAAGTGAAACTATATTTTTTTTAAAAGACCTATTAGGAACTTCCTTTGGTCTAAAAAAGGGCACTTTGAAGCCTACAGACTTTGAGAGCATTACATTTTTATTACATGTACTTTGGTTTGGTGTGGGGACCAGACACCTCTGAAAAATGCTCACTCCATCAGTCTCTACACGCATCACTAATTTACTAACAGACATATCATCAGGACTGGATCACATCCTTAAATCTTAATCTCCCCCAAAACCAACCTCGAAATATATCCTCCCCCGCATATGCCCCTTCCCCTGACCTCTCTGTCAAGATTGACAGCTCTACTATCAACCCGTCCCCCCATGCCAAGGCAGTGTAATCCTGGACTCTGAACTGTCCTTTTCAGACCCACATCCAATCAATGTCCAAAGTCTGCCGCCTCAACCTCTGCAACATCTCCAAAATACACACCCTTTCCTAAACAAATTACACCCATCAAAGCTCTTAGTCCACTCTATCATCTCTCGCCTCGACTACTGCAACTCCCCCCTCAATGGTTTACCTCCTTACATAGGCTATCCTCTCTTCAGTCCTTCATGAATGCTGCTGTCGGACTCATCCACTTTACCAACCATTCAGTGTCTGCTACCCCTCTCTACCAATCTCTCCACTGGCTTCCGCTCACCCAACAAATTAAATTCAAAATACTAACACAAATTAGAAAGCCATCCACAACTCTTCCCCCAGATACATCACTAACCTAATCTCAATATACTAACCTAATTGTTCTCTTTGTTCCTCCCAAGACCTCCTGTTTTCTAGCTCCCTTGTCGCCTCCTCCCATGCTTGCGTTCAGGACTTCTCCCGACCCTCTCCAATCCTCTGCAACTCCCTATCCCAATCTGTCCGACTATCTCCTACTCCCCCACTTTTAGACGATCCCTGAAACCCTTTTTTTTCAGAGAGGCCAATCCTGCTCCCACCTAACAACTGTATTTTCACTTTCTCCATCACCTCATCCCTACCCCGCAGTTATGACCTTTTGTATCTTTTGACCCTCCCTCTTAGCAAGGGGTGCCTTGTACTCTTGGCACACCTTGCTAGATTAGCACCTATAAAGCACTTTCATTTTCCCTTTAACTGGGACTTTACTATTTCTCTATGTATGGTAAATTAGTCCTGAATGCCTGATGTGTAAGAGCAGATTATCATATTAATCATTATTGTATATTGATATACTTATATATATGATATTGTCATATAGGACAAAAAGCCTGATTTTTTTTGCCAAAAATACCTCTAAAGCTCGACCTCTGAAAGCCATCAGGAGATCATAAAGCAGTGTTATGCTTGAAACTGTGCATTCCCTCTAATTTTTGTTTTTGGTTTCATTCTAATTTGCTTTTGGATTTTATATGCGTGGAATTATGGGAGCCCACCGTTAACGAGATACTCACAGAAAGATTTGCAATATACAGCATTACCTGCTCCAATTATATTATAACTTTTTAATCCCGATTGAAGAACAAAAACCTACAAAGCCAAAGCAGGTGGCAGGCTAAAGGCCTGTATTTAGTGTGATAACAGCTGTGGGTGATAAATATATGAGTGTACACAATTACTTTCTTTTCATAAGTCCCAAATGCCATGTTTTATTGAACAATAAAGAAAAGTCAATAAAAGGTGTGAGCCTGAGATTAGGTTTTGCTTTGAATCATGATATGGTGAGTTATCTCCTTCAGTGTTCATGCTTCCAACTTTACAGCTATAAACAAATGCCCACAAGATTTTTGTCATTGCAATCTGAACATGATATTTATTAAACCATATTTTGAATAATATTAACACAGTACAATGCTTTGCAAATAAATCTAACAATCCAAATCTCTGCTCAAATGAAGCAAATAAAGTGTTATTAACTTCATTCCAAGTATATCTTTTTTTTATGCAACAATTTGCATAGTATTCTCAATTTTAAGCCCCCATATCACTGACGATTAATTTAACTAAATTGGTTTTGGTAGTGTCTAATCTGTTCAGCAGGGAATCTGTGAAGAGACCTCTGCTGATTCAGAGTAGAAGAGGATGATGTCTCTTTAGTAATATCCATACCCATTTAGTTTCTTTCTTCATTTTGACAGTTGACCTTTCCAGACCCATACTTGATCTATGGGTGGTCAGATGAAAGCAGACTTGCATCAGTTTACATCAGGCTACCTCCAATTTGTCATTCTTAGGTCCATAAAAATAGAAAAGGACAAGTCCTTTTCCATTTCTTTTTCTGGAGCTGGTTGGATGTAAAAGGATGTATATCTGTTTACATTTGGCTGCCTACAAGCTTACATGGAGCTTACGATCAGATCCCCGCCAGAAAAATCTGACAGGCGGACCTCGATCGGAAAGGATAAATTCAGAAATTTTAATTATTTCCAGCATCTGTTTTTATTCAACAATTTTCTAACGATTTATATAATGCTGAAACAATTTATGTTTTTTTACTAATTCACTGCATTCTTCACTGGGTTTTAAAGGAAGATTGTCCAGACATTAAAATTAACAAGTGTTGTTTTCTTCTTTTGAAAAAGAACTAAAACAAATATACGGATCAGAAGTTCTGGCTTTGCTAAGCCTTCAGTTGCTTCACACTGGGTCGCTGACAAAAAATGTCTGCAAGTCTGACACATGCAGGTAACTAGCAGTTCACTGTAAACAAACTTTTGTAATATCTAATTTTGTAGTCATTAGAAAGCGAAACATATAGGTTGTCTTTGACAACGATGAGAGAACAAAAATTTAAATATACATCATTCCACTGGGAAGAATGTATAGAGAAAAAGTTGAGATATCCATATTATATAGTTACATAGCTAGTCTGGCTGAAAAAAGACAAAAGTCATCCCAGTTCAACCATAAAAAAAAAAAAGTTATAATCCCATATCCACAATTGATCCAGAGGAAGGCAAAAAAACAGCAAAGCATGATCCAATTTTTTTTTTCCTGCAGGGAAAAAAATTCCTTCCTGATCCCTCGAGAGGATTTCGGATATTCCCTGGATGAACTTTACCTATAAATGTTAGTATCCAGTTATATTCTGTGTATCTAAGAAAGAATCCAGGCCTTTTTTAAAGCAATCCACTGAGCTGGCCAGAACCAACTCTTGAGGAAGTCTATTCCTCCCATTTTCACAGCTCTCACTAATGGAGAAACCTTTTCCGTGTTTGGAGATCAAATTTGTTTTTCCTCCAGACATAAAGAGTGCCCCCCTGTCCTCTGTGAGGACTTCAGGGTGAATAACTCTACACCGAGTTCACTATATGAGAAACTGGCTTTGAAATGACAGAGTTCAATTCTTTAAGGACCAATGGGTGTATGCCATCCAGTCCAGGTGTTTTATTCACCTTTACAGTAAATATTTATGGATCATATCAATTGTGATCCAATGTGGATCATCTGCTTCCTCTGTTGCCCAGTTTACATATTTACCTTGTTTCAAAATAGTATTTAAAAATCATTATCACCTATTTATGCTCAGTGAAAATATATCAGATTTTTGCTATTTGGGTTCAAGCTGAAAACACCTTTACCTACAATTTTCTCTTTATGTAATAGGCTATACTGCTGTACTGTTCTCAGACGTTACATCACCTTAACAATGAGATCGTCAGACATTAGTCACTGGCACCTCCCCACAATTCCCTAAAAAAAGATGGTAACAAAATACTTACCACTGGTGCTGAGATGCTCAAGAACATTATTTTCTGTAATCTGACAATGAAGAACATGTGGCTGGCTGTACTTAGTTGATTGTAACGCATTGGTCTGTAATCCAAGACCTGGCTTACAGTGGCAAGTGAAAACCAACTTCTACAAAACAAAATAAACATAACACATAAAAGAATTTCCATATTTTCCTGGCCATTCTTATTTTTTTAGGACTAAATTAAAAAAAACTTTCATGTTTATTTTAAATAGCTATAAGATTTTCTTATTCATCCTGACCTTATTTTACAGACAATTAGAAAAAATAAACTGTTGGGAATCAAATTTAGGCTTGTCTTTTGACAGGTGCACAGTTCAGTGACTTCTATAGCAAACTAACATACAATTTTGTAAGACAAAGAAAACCAATTAAAATTGCTTGGACCAAGCACCACAGACGTATCTCTTCCCCACTGTATCAAGTTTTCCTTCTTGGACTAGCTAACCAAGATCTCCCCCATCTGTACCCAAACCCCCTCAGATCCCATAATACCAACCCCTATGGCAAAGTTCCCCCAATCTCAAAGATAACCCCCAGAAACTGCACCACCCCCAAAAGGCAAACAACCAAACCCCATCTGCAAGTAAAACTGCAGAAATGTGCATGTAAAGAAGCTTGAAGCTCGTTGGGAATTATGGCTAAGCAATATCTTATATCCAAAAACTCTCTTCTCCTAATATTACAAATACAGCAAACAAAGGCTGAGAGAGAGCTTTCCTGTAACGGCAGCCAAGAAGCAAGTACAAGTTTTCTTGTCTCCTCTCCAGTGACCTGAATATAAAGATAAACTTTCAGATCTAGGGTTTAAATGTCAAGACAACACAAAAAATGCACACATTAAAACAAAGCTAAATCACTAGATAGCCTTTCATTATTAATGTGCCGATAACATAGAATAATATATTCACAACTACTCATGCCCAAGGAAAGCATCATTCCATAGCTACAATATTGATGGCTTCACACAACTTAGAAAGAAAAAAAAAAAAAAAAAAAAAAAAAAAAAAAAAAAAAAAAAAAAAAAAAAAAAAAAAAAAAAAAAAAAAAAAAAAAAAAAAAAAAAAAAAAAAAAAATAATTGATAAAAGAAAAAAATTAGTTCATTGAATAGTTGGCCTGTTGGAAATGCTCAACATTTTTAGTGCAGAGAGATGAGCATAGCGTTGTTATGTAGTATACGTATATTATATGAACACAGTAAAATTGGGGTTTGTATTATAATAAAACTAAAGCTGCATTTAAAGAACAACGCAGGAATGGTGATAGAAACTGCAGTATAGTTTTGTGTAATTAGATAAGCAACACTGCTAATGTGATTTTGAATAAAACTGCACAGTATGTATAAAACTCCGTGTTAGAAAGCTGTGACATCATGTCTTTGCACAAAGTATTCCGCTCTTAGAGGAGGGATCTTTGAAGTAGCGACATCACTTTCTGTTAGTGTGTTATGGCCTCTTAAGACTACAAATCCCATCATGCCTTAAGATATGAATGGGTGGCAATGTGGGCAGGACTGTGGGCATGTTTGGAATGGATCAGACTCCTGGCCTGTCAGCCTATGCAGCAGAGTGGGTGGATCAGACCAGGAGTCTGATCCACCCACTCTGCAGCATAGATTGACAGGCCAGGAGTCTGATCCATTCAAAACACGCTCAAAGTCCTGACCATTCGCATCACTGTTAACATTAAAAACTACTGGTGAGAGTATGATCTCAGTGGACCCAGGCAGTAAGGCAGTGGCAGGGTCTCAGCTGGCAGCAGCAAGCAAACTTCAAAGGACATAGGAAAACAAATCACTCACCACAGCACTGCCTGAATTTGCAGCAGTTAAGTCAAGGATACACACCACAACTAACACAGAAGACAGAGCCAGTCTATCCCTAAGATGGGAGGCAGAGAAATGTTTGCTCTTGACTGCAAGAGAGAGAAGCCATGTACTTTAGGAAAGGCACATCCGTCCACAGTGCAGCCCATTCACATCACCATTTGCATTAGTAATAACTACAGTCTGAATGGGCAGGACTGTGGGAGTGAACAAGATCGATCAGACTTCTGGCCTGTCAATCTATGCTGCACAGTGGGAAGATCAGACTGGGAGTCTGAGACTCAGGTCCACCCCACTGCAGCGAGCACAGGTGTAAAAAAAACAAGCCCCTAGGCATGCAGACTGCTTCTACGAACATTTGTGAAAGAATGGGTCGCCCTCAGGAGCTCAGTGAATTCAAGTGTGGTACCATGATAGGTTGCCACCTGTGCAATAAGTCCATCCGTGAAATTTCCTTGCTACTAAATATTCCACGGTCAACTGTTAGTGGTATTATAACACAAAGTGGAAGAAACTGGGAACAACAGCAAATCAGCCACAAAGTGGTAGGCCACGTAAAATGACAGTCAATAGAGCAGGAAAAATTTTTCCAGGTCTGATGAGTCTCAATTTCAGCTATGACATTCAGATGGTAGGGTCAGAAATTGACGTAAACAACGTGAATGCATGGATCTATCCTGCCTTGTATCAACGGTTCATAAATGTGCAGCCAACAAATCTGAAGCAACTACGTGATGCTATCATGTCAATATGGACCAAAATCTCTGAGGAATGTTTTCAACACCTTGTTGAATCTATGCCATGAAGAATTAGGAGCAGTTCTGAAGGCAAAAGGGGGTCCAACTTGGTACTAGCAAGGTACCTAATAAAGTGGCCAGTGAGTGTAGTAAAAGTGTGTACTTATCTCAATCTCTTCCCTCCAATCAATTCTCAGAACTGTTTTCATTTATCTCCGCAGAGTGTGATTTCAACTCTGCAACCCTTTTTTTTATGAACTCTCTGACAAGCTTTATAAATTCAGCACTTTGAACAGATGTAGAGAAGACAAGACTGTAGAGAGACATGTACAACTTATAGAGAGACATGTACAACTTACATAGGAGGATTTGTTTTTATTTCTATGTACCACCTGAGGCCAGTCACTTCACTGGGTATATGTTACATAGTTAGTCTGGCTGAAAAAAGACAAAAGTCCATCCTGTTTCACCATTAAAAAAAAAGGGGTGTAATCCTACACCCATAGTTGATCCAGGGATATGTAAGGGTTTACAATCACTTAAATCAGTCTTTATCATCTTTACAGATTACGCTTCTGAATTACAGAACACTTTCTCCCTGAGCTATGGAGAAGAGGAGAGGGGATTGTGTTCTGCAGTCCTAAAACACCATCTGTCCTAGGATGGCATAATTGCTTCTACATAGATACAATACAGTGAGCGAGCATTGTCAACCTAAGACAGTTAAAGTGTAAATGGCAGGATCACCAAATGAAAATAAAAAGCAAAACCATCCTGAAGGAAGCAAACTGGTAGTGCCCCCACATTCAAGCCCAAGTAAAATATCAATCTTGGGTGTAATGGCCAGGTATATGTACTTTCATAACTTAGCGGGTCTCAAAAATTAAACAATATCTGTGTGGTGCTAGCCAGAAATAATCAGCCTTTTCCTTTGCACTTCTCACCTGAACTGACAGCATGAAACTGAGATCTTAACCAACAGCAGAGAGTTATTCAGGCTCATGAGGATAAATTCATATAAAGCAATCAGTCAACTTAGACCCTACAATACACACTGCATCCGCAATAAAACAAACACCATTGTTTTTAAAACATGCTTAGGAGACATTTAAAGTGATAACAAAGCTTCAAAGTTTTTAAAATTAAAATAACATGTTACTTACCTGCTCTGTGCAATGATTTTGCACAGGGCAACTTCGATCCTCTTCTGGGGTCCCTTACTGACGCTCCCAGCTCCTCCTCTACTCCGTGTGCCAACACAGGAAGCCGCTTCCTATAGTGGCACAAGTGCTGGCTTACTCCCAAGCCCCCATCTCTGTATATTGACACAGACGGCGGGGCTCGGTCCAAAGACCTGGCATTCCTGTCAATATTTTACATGACCGCACTCTTTTGTGCAGAAATGTGGGCAGGCACATTGTGAAAGCACGAGGATGCATTGAGGCGGCACGGATGCGCACGCTCTCATCCAGGACCGGTGCCAAACAGCCTTTATAAGGGATTTAACTACCGCCAGAGATTGCTGGTTGATTTTCGGCTCTCCAGTGAACTTGTTCGTGTGAACCCTGTGTCTGTGGATTCTCCATTACCGACTCGACTTTCTCTTGGACCTCTCTTCTGCCTGTCCCCTAATTTTGACCTTGCTTAACAGTCTTGCTGCTTCTGCTCACGTGTATGAATCTGGCTTACTCTTCTGACTTTGCTTCTGTTCTGACTGATACCGAAGCTCAGTTTTGTCCTGGCTACGCTTCTGGATTCCATTCTACCAAGTTTCCTGCTACTTACTACAGGTGCAACCTGCCTCCAGCTGCTGTACCAGACCTGCTTCATCTGCTAAGGACTCAAGTGCATCTGCTGACTACCTGGACACTTTGTCCAGCACACTCCAGCCAGGACGTCTTCACAAGCAGTTCCCAGCGGGTGACTTGTGCTTCTTTGAGCCTTGCACCTCCTATTCTCACTGTCAGGGGTGCCTGGAGCCACAAAGGAAGTCCTCTCACCACTTGGCCTCCAACCAGATATGGGATACCTGCTCCCTTGTCATAGCACTTGATTGACAAGAAGGGGAGCCAATGGTTTCCACCACTATCAGACTGCCCAATGAGGAGGCACAGATTCAAGAGAGCTGGTGCTCTCATGCACATCTCTGGATCAAGATGGGGCTCAGGTAAGCATAAGGGGGGCAGGTGGGTTGTGGAGGGGAATTGAGCTGCAGGAGATGTCCAGGTTGTAAACTGGAGCTGATGAGAGTGTGTACTGGCAGGACACAGAGAACAGACTGAAAGCACACATAAAGAGAACAAGTAGCTGTAGCATGGAAGAACACAGAGAAGGAACAAAGTCTGGGAGTGCAAAGGTGTTGATAACGAGAGACTTATGCTGGGTACACACAGGAAGTTTTTTTTCATTCAACCCAGTGGGTGAATGAAAAAACTTTACAGATCACTGTAATAACACATCTGATGTTAGTGCAATGATCTCCCCATTGAGCAATTGTATTCTGACATCCTAACCTTTTCCAGCATACCTGTTCAACAGAAGCT